TTTCTTCCTGGGATTGTTGTTCGTTGTAAAGAATATTACAGCGCACATGAAGCACTTAACACACTGGCACTTAGCAGTGTTCACTGTGTGCGGCCACCCCGCTTGGCGTGTGTCAGAGCCGTAACGGCACCATGTGTTTGTTGACGATGCACTGGTAGCCCCTTGAATAGGTTATGAATTTGGTGATTTCCTTTAATCCTTGTAAATCTGTGTGCCATGGGCAGTTATTTTCATGGACAGATGAGTAATCTCAGGGTAAAGAAGACTGTGCAATTTGCCCAAAGTAATACCATAATTTTGGGTACAGGGGCCTCTGTTCAGCATGGGCCCCTGGGCCTTCTGCCCTCTCCGTTCAGCACCAGAGCCAGATGTGGGGTCGGCTGTCTCCCAGCCCAGAATACCCAGCAGGCAGCAAGACAAACCTGGCCCTGTGCTGCTTGAGCAAAAACTCTGGAGGGGAGGCAGTTACAAAAGGTATAAACATAAAAACAGACGACTGCAAATTGTGATCAGCTCTGAGAAGGAAAGGAACACGTCTCGCCGTGCAGAGCTGGGAGATTTCCCGTCGGGGCTGCTCTGGGGGCGTTCATCTCAGCTAAGCAAGCTCTGCTGCTGCACCAAGGCAGGAAGGCAGGGCGCGTGTGAACAGGTAGACTGGGCCTCGATGATCATACACATTCCCAATTAAGCGGCAGCTCTCACGGGCACTTACCTACTAAACAGATGTCAGCCACAATCATCACGCATTTTGCTTGGTAGTTTTATTGGCCCCACCTGTGAGATGAGGTCATTGAAGCTGGGGAGTTTGCTGCATGCCCGTGATCACCTTGGAAATATTCCCCACCGGTCTTTCAACTTAGACTGGTGTGGTTGTCATGTCCCAGCCCTGTGAATGGCATCGTGTAGCTTCTCCCAAGTGGCCCAAATGACTGACGTTGATTTTCTTAATTCTTAGGAAATGGTATGTGACAATAGGAGAAAAAGGTAGTAAGAAATTATTTGGAAAACTTGAAAAAAATCCAATTCTTCCCCAACTGGGGGGGTGTACCCTGTGTCACTCACCCCACTCACTGCCTGGCACCTCCTCCCTGCCGACTCCGTGTTCAGAAGCCACTCTGAGCCTTTGAGGAACATTTCGCCTCATGACACTGTTGACTAGGACCTGCGACCTCTCTGTCCCTGGTTAACTCTCTCTTCAAAGCCATTTAAATTTTATGCAGGCTTCTCCGCTCAGATGTAAGAGAAGCCTCTTTAAACGTCTTGATGCATCTCCTTAATGAAGATCTTGAGAAGGAAACCTAGCCAAAACCTGGGAGATATGCACATAATGACCATAAATTCAGCACTTTGTGAAGTTCAGAATCAGAGGGGTGGGAGACTTAGGAAAGGCTTTTTAAGGTAGAAAGGGGTAAGTGAAAGGACGAAGGCTGTGTGAGACTGAAATATCTAGGTCCCAGCCAGCAAGGCACCTGCGTTCAGGATGGTGTGTGGGGAGTGCAGAATTCTCACAAAGAAAGAAGTTGTGGGATGGGAGGGAGGACAGTTACGTTCTTTACTGGGGAAAGAAAAATTGGGCTGAGCATTTCCTGGTTGAACTGTGTGGGGAGTGCAGAGTTCTCACAAAGAAAGTTGTGGGATGGGAGGGAGGACAGTTACGTTCTTTACTGGGGAAAGAAAAATTGGGCTGAGCATTTCCTGGTTGAACAAGAGGATTGTGACATGATGTGCTTGTATTTTGGAGAGAAGGGTTTTGTGGGGACAGGCCTAGGAGAACGCTCTCTGGATGGGGCGTCAGCAAAACAGGGAACAACAGAGAATCTGGCCGACCCCAGGGCCCCTGCTGGGGGAAAGGCTGCCCGCCAATTCGACCTCGGGGGCTGCTTCTGTCCCTTAGCTGGGGCCTCAGAGCTCCCTTCACAACCCAGTCCTGTTGTTACAAGGAAAAATACGTGGGACATAAGAAGGGCTGTGTCCCAGGCTTTGGTTGAGCCCTTGGGTGTGCCTTGCCAGATGTTGGTCCTTGGCTTCATGCAAGAAAGAATTCAAGAGCAAGCCAGTGTTGAGTAAAGGTAGATTTATTCAGAGAGATACATTGAAAGGCAAGAGAAACTCCACGAGGTGTGGGGATTTGATGCTCAGATCAAAAGTATGTTCACAATGCACAGACAGTGTGTGAGCCTTCTCTGAAGAAGGAGAGAGAGGGGTGGCCGTGAGGCGGCGCTGTGTTTCTGGTTTTCATGGGCTTGGCCGTTTCATATGCTAATAAGTAGAAGGACGAGCCTAAGGGCAAGGGGATGGAATTCCCAGGGAGTTGGCCATTTCCCACACTGTGACCTTTTGTGGCTAGCCTTGGGACTGCCATGGTGCCTGGGGGCGTGTTATTCACCATGTTACTATTACAATGGGTGTATAATGAAGCTCAAGATCTGCTAGAAGTTAAATCTCTCCATCCTGAGCCTCAAGGGATATTGGGGGTTGAAACCTTCACCATTTTGATGTTAATTGCTGTGGCCTTCCTTGAATGGCTGTGCTCTGCCCCCTTCCATCCTGTCTCACTGTGATGACACAGAGAGAGCAAAGGCTGGGCCCTGCCTCTGCTCCTGCATTTAACAGGGAGAGGGGTTGGGTGGGCTGAGGATGACTCTGAGTGGTGGGAAGGATGTTTCAGATTTTCACACGTGGGACATGAGGACCTTCCAGCAGCCACCGCAGATTTATCTCACGGGCATTATCGCTTGTGTCACTCATCTTTTTCTATTTTTCTTTTTTTTTTAAGTATTTAATCTAAATTTAGTATCAGGTTTTTTAGGAAAGAAATTTCTCTTTTTCTTTTCTTTGGGGCTCTTTTGGGGAGTAGGTAATTATGTGTATTTATCTATTAGTGGAGGCCCTGGGGCTTGACCCCAGGACCCCGTGCATGCTAAGCTCAATCACTGAGCTCTACCACCCGCCCCATCATCTTT